AACATGACATAGTGAGAGCATGAGGTCATATCTTTAACCCTCCTGGATGATGGTGAGAGCTGATGTCATTCACATGCTAAGTAAAGGAATTTGAGCACTCAAACCTCTAGTCTTTTATCTAAATAATTGCTTCTGCCACACATTCAGTGCTTTGATGTGAAAGAGGAAATATATTTGAGCTACAATGGACATAAATACAGACTCTTGGCATTTCAAAGACTTTGTAATTTTATGTAATTTCTAGGAAAAATACATATTTGGCAGATTGTCCATTGGGTGCTCACTTCATAATCTTGGTGGAAGTACAGTAGTAGTGCATTCATACTTTTCACCTATACTATTTTGTAAATATTAAAATTTTGGACATCCTACCCATTTAACGTTCATTAATTCATTCATGCGTTTATTCATTCATTTAATAATTTGCAGTGATGCCACAGAGAGTTCTGAGAAAATGTTTAGCAGAACATCTGAACATTTTAAATTTATTTTTGCGGTTACCACTTGGTTTGACGATTGCTTCTGCTGCACATGCAGTGCTATGAAATGACAGATGCAATATATATGAGTTACAACAGACATAAACACGATACTCTCCCAGACTCATGGCATTTTGAAGACTTTCTGATGCTATTACTTCATAACAATAATTGCATATCAGTGCAACAGTTGCTGTGCAGCCGTAATGCGGTATTAGAGGCCATGTCGTGACTCATTTGAAATATCTCCCTTGGTGATGCACCTCTGCCCTCGCCATTCAGACTCTGCAGGGCTTCCCAGGCGCTAGTGATTTAACCACAGCTCATGCTATGCATGACTAGTCTTATTCTTCAGGGTCAGACCTGGGCAGAAGGAGAGCGTCAACCCCCCTGCTGTCAAAGAACACCTACACCACACTGAGATTCATACCAAGCATTGGCACCCCGCATGCAAACATACCCACACAAATGCATCTGTTCTGCTGTCACTGTTTACTGCGGCAACAGTTTCCTAACCTTGGAAAGCCTGTGGAGAGAACAACATGAATGCTTTGGCTGCTTTAAACAAACAAGAATCTAATTGCCCTGCATTTTAGTCAGTTTTATTAATGGATGATACAAATGTAGATAAAAATAGCATGACCCTAAATTATAAATTGATTAATAATCCAATATAACGATAAAATGATAATTTAATTATTAGTACTGGATCACCTGACCATTCCACCAACAGGGACTTTAATGACATTGCATTTAATTACATAGACATTAATATGGAGTTGGTTGTCCCATTGCAGCTATAACAGCTTCTACTCTTCAGCAAAGGTTTTCCACAAGTTTTTGGAGTGCTTCTGTGTGAATTTTTGCACATTCATGCAGTAGAGCACTTGTGAGATCAGGCACTGATGTTGAACAAGAAGGCCTGGCTCGAAATATCCATTCCAGTTTATCCCAAAGTTATTTAGTGGAGTTGAGGTAAGGGCTCTGTGCGGACCAGTCAAATTCTTCCACACCAAACTCATCTAACCATTTCTTATTGGACCTTGTTTTGTGTACTGGCCCTGGGGCAACAGCCCTCATTATCCCTCCTCCACCAAACGTTACAGTTGGCACAATACAGTCAGGCAGGTAACGTTCTCCTGGCATCCGCCAAATCTAGACTCGCCCATCAGACTGCCAAACACAGAAACATGATTTATCACTACACAGAACACGTTTCCACTGCTCCAGAGTTCAGTGGCACCATGCTTTACACACCACTCCATTCAACTCTTGGCATTGTACTTGGTGATGTGAGGCTTGCATGCAGCTGCTCAGCCATGGAAACCCATTCCATTAAGCTGATATTAATGCCAGTGGACATTTGTAACTCTTCAGCTATGGAATCAGCAGGGTGTTGGTGATTTCTATGCACTAGTGATGTTAGGTTCTTGAACGAATCGTTCTTTTGAGCCGGTTTTCAGGAAGTAACCGGTTGAGCCGGTTCACAAATCGAACTGAATCGAACTTTAGTTCTGGGTTGATGACGCACAGTCGAAGTAGCACGTCCAACTCAAAAAGAACCAAATGAGCCGGTTCAACCAACTGTCGAAGTTTGCCGAGGATTACCGAGGACTCAACAAGAACCGAATGAGCCGTGACGAAGTTTGCAGAGGATTACCGAAGATTCTGATGAGTGAGTTGACGATACTGTGCAAGTCTGAGGCGTGTTATTAAGCAATTATTTAATAACTAAGACTGTTATTAATTTACATTTTATTAAAACCTGCAAAAGCCTTTCTGTCGAGTGATGTAAATAAATTTTACAATAGTTTATTGTGCATTCATATTATATTTAAAGTTGCTTAAGCGAAATCAAGGCGTTTATAAGACTGGTTTATTCATTCTTTATACTGTAGACATGTAGAACATATCCGTGTGCATCACTGTCTGTAATGTGTGCTGTAGGTGCAAAACTTTTAGGAATCTTATTCAAGTTGTAGGCTAGTCAATATTGGTCAGTCAGTCGTATCTGAGGATCCGTGAATGAAACTGTGACCACAAACACCATTAACTTAAGTGAATTATATGGCAATTATCAGCAATATGCTTTCACACAAATAACTTAATCATTTTTGAATGTTTCAATAGGCCTATGTGTTGATACAAATGACTCATTGATACAACATGGCACTGAGTTGTTAGAAAATAAATGCGTAGAGATGTTATTGCTTGATGACGTCAGGAACCGATGAATCAGCTTTTTTAACCGGTTCAATGAGCCGATCTGTCCGAAAAGAACCAGTTCGCAGAAATGAATCGGACTTTGCATCACTACTATGCACTATGTGCCTCAGCACTCGATGATGACCCAGCTCTGTGACTTTTCGTGGTCTTCTGCTTCATGGATGAGTTGCTGCTGTGCAAATGCAGACTGCATGGCTAGGTGCTTGATTTTATACACCTGTGGCAATGGGTCTGATTGAAACACCTCAATTCAATAATTAAGAGGTGTGTCCCAATACCTTTGTCCATAATAGTTAATATTTTGGAAATGTTTTTTTTTTCACAGCTGTAAATCTAATCCTAACATGTTTCTATTGTAATGGATTTTAAAGTTTTGATTTTGATAAGGTTTTGATAAGCTGACTGCCATTGCATCCCGCTGACTGTCTCCAACCTGCTGTGAACTGCTGAGGAGATACATAGTGTTCTTGGTCTAGATCACAGCATGAGAGGGGCCACATAGTGCATGTCATGCATTTAAATGGCTATTGTGAGCACAGGCTGTAGCAGCATTATGTGTATATGAGCCTGTAAAAGGCTGATAAAGGTTGATAAACATTTGAGCCTCTGAGCATCATTGTTATCTTCTGGACTGCTTTGGTGTTTGTATCTGCCTTCAGACATGTGACTCAAATGTTTGCGAGTATTTAATGTAACCGAAAATCGCTTATGGCTTCATCATCATCTAAGGTCTAATAGATGTCAAGGCCGAGATGAATAAATGCTTTAACACTGCTATAATATTTAGGTGTAATTATATATATATTGATTTAATCAAATATATTTGCTTATGAAAAGCTATAACAAGTGATAGGATCTAAGAATAAATCAATATGTTTTCATAAGTGAGATATGGATTAAGCAGCTATTAGTTTTACAGCGAAAAACAGTTGTGGAGTAAATTTCATTTGACCTCAGTGTGTGGTTATTATTACATTGAGCCCATGCAAGATCTGCATGAGTGAAGCGCGTCACGTGGGAGCCTCCTCGCGCTCACTTTAGGTGACGACAGCATGTTGAGATCATGCAGATGACGTAACGTCGCTAAACTGCAACATTCATGTTATTCAATTACCGATTACTCATTATTCAATTATATTCAATTATTACTCTTTATAGATCTGTTGAAACAATAACTTCAGTATATCATTGTTAAAATTAGCCTACCACTTTATCAATATTTGTGAGAAATGTCAGCTTAAAGATATTAGTTTTTTTCCCTTATGTTTACGATTGAAAATAAATAAATGAACATTAAACACTTGCTCAACAGCACGGGCAGTACCAGAATATATTTAGACTAGTTGAGTAAATTTCACTGGAATAGAGTAGAATGAAGAAGTATTCAAACATTTCCTCTAGGAAGGTGTGTACGTTGTTGACAGTGTTGGGGAAAGTTACTTTTAAAAGTAATGCATTACAATATTGCGTTACTTCATTAAAAAAGTAACTAATTACGTTACTTAGTTACTTTTTATGGCAAGTAATGCGTTACGTTACTTTTGCGTTACTTTTTAAATCTGGACAGGGTTGCTTGTTTGTAAAAAAGTTATATTTTTGGCAAATATAAAAGCCTTTTCACACCAAAAGTGAAATGAATAAGCCTCAGGCTGAAGGGAAAGTACATTTACGTCCGTACAGTACAATGCAGAAGAAGAAATTTCAACACACTTCAGCAATAAAAAAAGACACATAAATGTTTTTCTAGAATAATTTTTGCTTAGTAAGGTTGAGCTGGATCATCGAAGGTCAGAAGCAAAGACATCGGTTAATAGAATGGTATTAAATACATAAAGGATATTTGTGTTGTTTAACATTTAATTATTGCAGGTTTGCGTCATATTCTGAGTTGCATTATTTTTATTCATTTTGAGGAATACTGAATGTGTGTTTTGTGTGTGTGTGTGAGTGTGAGTGAGATGAATTAATGCATATTCATATTTATTTTAGAGCAACATCTTCTGATTTCTCTCAACATGGGGACAGGAGAGCTGTCAATCAATAAATTGGAAAAAAAAGTAACTTGCGTTACTTATTTGAAAAAGTAACTCAGATATTCTCTTGTAAATTAAAAAGTAATGCGTTACTTTACTAGTTACTTGAAAAAAGTAATCTGATTACTCGCGTTACTTGTAATGCGTTACCCCCAACACTGGTTGTTAAATAAAACAAATGCTGCAGACTTGCTTTCCCTTGCCAAAAATTCAACAATGAAGACGATTACGGTGTGACGCAATACGCTCCGATGGCGCCCCTCCCTCCGCCGGGAAACTCACTCACAGCAGCTCAGCGGCGGAGCTCAGGATGCCGAGCTCTGGAAACATTCGGAAAGTCACACGCTTCTTCTAGTCTGCAGAACCGGCTACAGACATTCCTCATTACAGGAGGAAGAGCTTAACTCGGGAGCTGGAGCTTCTTCCTCATTTTTAAGCGAAGTAGGACTCGCGGACAGCCAGAAGTGCGGATCACCTCAGGTGAGACATTCTGCATATATTTCACACTGTGTGAGTTCAAGCGGATGATCTCAGGCGGCAGTAATAGCGGTAAAACTCTCCGTCACTTGAGCAAGCCACTTAATCGCGCTCAAGATCTTTTAATCAAAAAACAAGGACGACCTTTTTATTTGTTTCATATTTCTTTACTCACCTTTTGTAGTTTAGTGACCTGTTTTGTGCGTGCTTATCCAAACAGTCTCATGTTCACTGGATAATGTTCTTCCAGTCTAATGAACAAGATTCATGTTGTGGTTTTGCTTAGTAGCTGAATATCAGTGGCAGTATAATTCATTTTCTTGGGGTTTCCTCCTTTATGTCTGGACTCTGGAGCAATGCCAGCGTTTCCGTGGCCATTAGCGATGTGCAATTCGTGAACCAATCGTTCTTTTGAGTTGAAACTTTTAGTGAATCTTTTGAACCGGTTTACAAGTCTATCCGAGCAGTTCGTGAGTCAACTATTCACTGAACCGACTCATTGAACTGAGCTTCATCTCATAATGAACAGAAGGGCTGAATGAGCTAGTCAGAGCATGTGGAGGTGAACTGAGGATTTAACTGTTGGGGGGAAAAGTTACAAAGAAAAGTTACATAAATATGCTCACTGCTTCATTGTATGGCAGTTTGATCAACTCATACGAAACTAATTAGAGATAAAAAATAATTTTATTACGGTACATTATTTTCTGCAAATTAATTATAATTAGGTTATGAATATATTTAATGAAAAATAAACTGAAATGGTACAAGAAATTACAAAAAACATTCTAATTAATTGGCTATGTTTTATTAATTAGGAAGTTTTTTTTAAATTATGGATTGTCCACTACTAGTGGACAATCCATAGGCTAATTAACAGTAACATACATTTGACTTTTTTGGAGTGTTTATTACCACTCTGGGATGTCAGCAACTACATGATGATGCAATTATGACAATCTCTAAATAGAATGCAACAGTTGGTTCCGGAAGTAAAAATCCCATTAATTTTCTCCAATCGATTTTTTTATGATAACTTATAAACCTTTAAAGACAGACCTACTGTAAAATATGCTTTAGCTGAAGTCATCAGCATTATGTGATCGATTATGTGCGATCACTTCCACATTCAGCCTCAGTGGCCTCAGAACTTCCGGTGCAGCACAGTGTATGGAAATTGTGAGAAAAGCAAGCACAAAATAAAATCTTGAGGAAGTGTTACAGGACAGGACAAAGGAATATTGTACGAACCACCTTTACACTAAAGCTATTTAAAGCTTCTGGAACTCGTTATTAAAATACCAAATACCAAAATGTTCTGTTTATCAGTTAATAATATTTTTAATATACTGTATTATAATATAATGCAATTAGTTATTAGAAATATGACAGAACAAATTTGCTACTACCATGGCTTGTTATGAAAGAATACTATACCGGCTTGCGTACCATAGATCTTAGTGGAAATACATTTTTTAATTTGATTATATTATTCATAATGCTTAAATTTTGTGTCAACAACATAAAAACAAATGCACACCAAAATGAATATAAACTCGGGCAGAATACTAGAACATCTCAAAGCTGATGCACTCAATGTGTTGCTTGCTTTGACTATTACAGTGAGGAGGGAAACTGTGATGTAGTGAAGACACTCAATGGGAAACAGAGTCCAGATGTTCTGGGATAGGTTTTATGTTTAACCTATGTGTGATTTTATTTTTTGAACCAGTTTTTTGAAAGGAACCGAATCAATTAGAGGATATCTTTTGGATGTGGCATCACATATTTGACAATGTAGTAAATGAGAAGAGGATTCCAGTAGCTCATTAGCTCTGATACATCAATCAATTCTTAATCTTCTTGTTAAAAATCATTATAACTAAAAATGTTTAAAGATCTGGGCTTGTAACTGAAAGATTGTAGGTTCAAACCCCTTAAGGGCTTGAACTATCACCATTGTGTCACTTGAAATTGGTCATTTAGCGGTTAACATTCTTTTTTTTTTTTCTCATTTCTGCACCATTTAATTCACATGTAGGTTAAACATAAAACCTATCCCAGAACATCTGGACTCTGTTTTCCATTGAGTGGCTTCACAATATTACAGTTTTCACATTGAGTAGGCCTATATCAGCTTTGAGATGTAGTATCTAGTATTCTGCCCGAGTTAATATTCATTTTGGTGAGCTTTTGGTTTTATGTTGTTGACACAAAATTGAAAATCATCAAAGTTGTTTTGATATTTGATAGGGGATTTACATGAATATATGAAATGTTCACAAGAGCCTTCCTGGAAAAAAAGGCTTTACTGAAGTGAATGGCCACTTGCCTTGTCTCCCTGCATATTCATGTCCGACCTGTTTTTATGTTCTGTTATTATCTTATATCATGTTTGGTTCAGCAGCAACTCCAGGTGGCTCTAACAGATGGTGTGGAAAGCATTGCATTATGTGGCCTGTATAGTGTTTTATTTGCTGAATACAAGGCAGGTTATGAAGTATTGGTTTTTATATATTTTTAAATGTATTTACTTAGTTCACTAGGTCACTTGGGTTCTGACCAATCATTGCAGCATTGTGGCAAAACAGGTTTTAGATTTCACAATATTTCTCAGAATAAAATGCCAGGAAATTCTAAACATGGGTGTAGCTGCCGTTAACATGTTTGCGCAGGCACACAATCAAAATGGTGTTGCACTTTGTTAATTTAACTTAGCATTTCAGTACATCCAGGAACAGAGGATACGGAAATGTGGGAAGCAGTCATGCTCGTTATTGTCTTGTACAAGAAAGGTGACTTACCTCCTTATTAAAAGCAAATATAGTCAGAGCAGAGTAATTCACTCTGAAGCCGGTCTCATATTACTGCTTCATACGTTTAATATGTGCCAAAATCTTTTGCCTGCTTTATTTTCCATTAAGTTACTCAGGAATGACTTCTCCATCCCTTAAGAGTAAAACTATTCCTGCGTTCTTCTTATTCTTCAGTGTTTTAGTTCAAATCAAATTGGCCTATCTTCCCACACAGAGGCCATTCCTCTCTTATTGTCTATCTCATTGCAGATTCCATCACTCCATCAAGAAGAGAAATTATGCTCACAATCATATGAAATAATGTAAGTATCTCTAATTAGATTTGATTAGGGCTTGGATTTTAGAATGCTTCATTTGACTTGCTTTATATCATTGATTACCCATTTCAAAGTGGTTAAGGAACTGTTAATGAGAGGGAATTTGTATTTCTGTGAGTAATTTTGTTGTGGAATATATAAAACTAGCCAAGTAATATTGCACACACATTGCACAGTATTGCACAATATTGCCCATTTCTTGAAATGTTATGGAAGGCAAATGTTCTTCATGAGATGGAGTTTGATGACACATTCTTCTAATTATTACCATATTATTACATTCAACCGTATTATTACCTTTTCTAAATATTTTCCAAACTATGTAGCTTGATGGGTAGAGGCATGCTGTTTGGTTTTAAGCAATCTGACTTAAAATTTTCTACTGAAAATAGAAAATAGACTATGGGATGCACAATATATCGGTACATTATTGTTTATTTGGTGAAATTACACATTTTTGCATTTATCAGTATCAAGTGATATTGGATATTTATCATGTGATATTGGATGTTTAATTGTGTGTGTTAATTTACCTTTGTCCTCAAATGAAGTTCTAAATGTAGATTCGGGAGGAGCCTAATCATTCAGTCCTGTCAATCATCACTATGAGTCTATATAAACAGCAGTCATTGCGCCGTCCCAGCGACAATTCTTCCAGCACTCCATCTCCTTCTCTATTTATTACTGCAATGGAGGGGTTGAACTTAGAGCTCAAGCCGAGCCTCGGGTTCGAGCTTCTATCAAGGACAGCAAGCCGAGTTCGTTTACCATTAACCATCAGGACTGGATGGGCAGGCGAACTCGTGAACTACAATTAAAGGGAGAGTTTACCCAAAAATGAAAATTGTCATCATTTACTCACCCTCAAGTTGTTCAAACCTGTAACATAAAAGAAGATGTTTTAAAGAATGTGGGTAACCAAACAGTTGGAATGGGGCTCTGTCATATTATATAATGAGTAAACTAAATGCTGTCATACTGTTTGAGCTTAAAGATTCGACCATTCCAGTGTGGAAGATGATAGTGCGTCATATTCATACTGAACTATTTTACAGATGTCCTCTCTTTCCCGCAGGACTCTGTTTATCATGCTTGCGCTTCTTGTGAATTTCATTACCATTTCACAAGGTGAGTCGTTGTTGCACTAAGCTAAAATTGCACTTCCTGTTTTCATTCAAATTCTGTATCTAGCATCTTTTCATTGTTTTACATTTCCTATTTGCTGTCGAGGCAAAGACTTACATACTGTAGCGTGCTGGACACCCACAAGCTGTCAGCAGTCCCTCTGCCCACCTCGGAGATGCATTAGTGTGGGTTATGGTTGAACGCACAGAGTGCAGGAGGATGATGAATGGACAGAGAGATAGAAGAAGACAGAGAGGTAGTGAGAGAGAGAGGTAGATTGAAAGTAAGGGGTGTAGGAGGGAGGTGATTACACCCACATCATGAATCAGACTATAAACTTATAACGGTCACCTAGGGGCCTCACATATAGACAGATGTACAGATGAGAAAGGGCCATAGGCCTTTAGGGTAACAGTAGTGCAGTTGGTAACTGAAGGTGATATGTGTTGTTCGCTTTGGATGATATTAAATTAAAATGGATATTATTGAAATTATTTAAATGGATAGGGATGGACGATATATCAGTGCCATATTGATTATTGGATGACATTGGGGAGTAAGTTTTAAAAAAATTATCAGTATTGATCAGTGTTTATATAACATAATTAACTGTGTATAATTTAATTATGTATAATTAACTTAATTAAATATGCATTTCATCTATTTACATTTAGATAACTTTTTCCATCATCTAACGTTTTAACACAATAACTTAGTTACTCTGTAAAAACAATAATAATTTGATAACATTGCTCTAATCTTTGGAAAATCTCAAAATTAATATCCATTTTTCGATATTGAAGCATAAGTTATATTGTTGTGATGCCTGAATTCACTTTTAGCGTTTGAAATGATTGATTTATTTTAGTTTTAGTTAATTTATTTAGGAAAATAGTAATATCAGCCATTTATTACACACACACACACACACAAATAAAAAAATTTAAAATTATCATCTTATCAGAGTCAGCCAGAAATGTATGTACAGTATATGTATTTTGATGTCAAAATATTTATCCTAGCTTAATATGCAGGGACAGCTGTGAGGATGCCATTTGACATAAGGTGTAAATACGGTGTCACTATTGCTCTGTTTGATCAGCCTGATCAGCCTGACACAATAAAACAGTAATGCAACCATTGGCATTTATTTGGGGGTGGGGCCATCTGTCGTACTGACCAATGAAAGATAGATGTTTGGGAAACTTGTTTGAAAATAGTCATTATTTTTGCAATTCCATGTAGTAACACTAGTGGTGCAGAAATTTAACACACTATATTTAATAAATTAATTGTGCTCATTATTTCAAAAGATATTGAAATGTTAAGATTTTCTTAAGTACACACTTTTTAACTCAAAAGTATTAAATCTTTGTTTGGAAATATATGATGGCTTGCTTATGTTGCAGTCCTACACAGTTGTGTCGCCCTTGAGTAACTTTCAGATGAATGTTCAATTCTGAGCACTTCTGAGAATTGATTTTGCCAATAGATTTTTCTTTTATACATAAGGTCTGTGTGTCCTCTGAGATTTTTTTCCCCCACTGTTCAGTTTGAATAGTATTGCAAATGAGTGTCACTCACATTGAGATCCTCGTGTTCCAGGTCTTGCTGCTTTGAGTCTTTCTGATGGCAGGGGAGGTGTTTATGAAGACCTGAAGTGGAAGGCTCTGCTATGTTGTGAGCTGCCCTTTGCTCAGACACTTGACGGTGGTCTTTCAGAACACCCACCTGTAGGACAGTGTCACCTACTAAATGCTACAAAACCAGAATTCTCAAGTAAATCACCCACCCTTTCTGGTAAAATCAATCTGTGTGGTATTACAATCATTGCTTTCGGAAGGGCTTTTTTGGATTGAAGAAAGATTATTTAAAGTACTGTTTTTTCATGCTTATAAAATGTTGACATAGTAATATTTGTTAAAAACTTTGTTGTTAGTCACATTATTGTTGATTTTCATAATTAAGCTGATAATATGTAAATGTCCTTTTATCAGTGAAGGGCTATAAAATGCAATTGATTTTCTTCACATGTAAACGTCTTCATTTTCATTTTGACAGCAAATGCGATATGTTTGTTTACGTTATGATTTTTATCAATACATTGAATGACATTTAAAAAGAAAAAGTACTAAATGTATTTAAAAAAAATAAGTATTACGGTTTCCAAAAAAAAATAAAAATTAAGCAGCACAACTGTTCAATATTGATAAAAATTGAAATGCTTTTTAGCATATTAGAATGATTTCTGAAGGATCATGTGACACTGAAGACTGGAGTGATGGCTACTGAAAATTCAGCTTTGCATCACAGGAAGAAATTACATTTTAAAATATATATATAAAAAATATTTAAAATGGTAATGATATTTCACAGTATTACTGTTTTTACTGTATTAGTGATCAAATAAATGCAGCCTCGGTGAGCATTAAAGACTTCTTTCAAAAACATAAAAAAATCCAAACTTTTGAACGGTAGTGTCCAAAATAAATGAAAGACAATTTATGAGTTATCCTTGCCATTTTAAGGTCTCATAAAGCAGTTTTGTTTATATTTGCATCAGAGGTCTTAGCTACAGAGAGACTGAGAGAATTGACCTCTCCAGACAAGTAGATGGGTGCCATTACCCATGCTAATCAATTCTCATTACTTCCTCTTCTCTGCGGTAGGCCAATAATTAAAGTCTATAAATACATTTATAGCGTTTAAGTGGAAAATAAGTTAAGGTTTGCAATCCTATTAAAGTGTGAAGTGGCTCTGCAAAAACAGAAAAGGAATCAATACAAATACTCAGAGGTGGATGCTTATTTTTCCCTAACATCATAAAGCATTCATTACACTTAAAGAAAAAAAAAACATTTCCCCATCTACATTGACTCCTGTGATAGTGCAAGTTTAAAACTTAAAAACTATCCTGACAGAATTTCAACTAGACTATGAATAATTGATGTTTTATGTTGATTCAAAGCATCGTGTATGTATCGTTCATGTTATTTGCACACTATGTAATGAGGCTGTGTCCTGACAGGAAAAATGTGCATGTTATTTCTAGAGGCTTCTAACTGCGATAGATTGTGATGAAAGAAGCTAACATGGGAATGCAATCTCTTTTCAGGAAACTGTTTGGACATCCTGTGCTGGCTTGAAGGTGAACAGACAAATTTGATTTGTAATGCAAAGAGCCACAGAGCAGCAGCCGCTGCAAGTCTGCTCACCGTTAGACCTCAATTAGTGTGAGTCCTCTGTTTTTATTCTGCTCTCCACAGACTGCTGATTTGTTGCTGCTCCCATTCGTGCTTAAATTGGATTCAGGACAAATTAAGAGTGTATGTGGGGGGGGGATTATGCAGACGATGTAATACATCCAGACTCTATGACTCTAGTAGGGGAAGTCGTGGGGAAGTCGTGGCCTAATGGTTAGAGAGTCAGACTCATAACCCAAAGGTTGTGGGTTCGAGTCTTGTACCGGCAGGGATTGTAGGTGGGGGGAGTGAATGTACAGCGCTCTCTCCCACCTTCAATACCATGACTGAGGTGCACTTGAGCAAGGCACTGAACCCCCAACTGCTCCCCGGCCGCCGCAGCAAAAATGGTTGCCCACTGCTCCGGGTGTGTGTTCACGGTGTGTGTGTGTGTTCACTGCTGTGTGTGTGCACTTTGGATGGGTAAATGCAGAGCACTAATTCCGAGTATGGGTCACCATACTTGGCCACATGTCACGTCACTTTTTTATTAATGGTCAACTTTTAAATTATCTTAATTATTTAATATTATTTACTTTTTTGTCCACTATATATACAGATTCTAACTAATTCTCTGATTATTTCCCCTGTGATAAAGATTAGCCTGTGTCGATCCCAAACTTAAGGCACCATATGATAACAATTTTTGTTTGCATGAGTTCCTTAGAGGCTTAATCTGTTATGGATTTACAGTTGTATTCATTATTTTATATATATATTTTTTCTTTTTAGTGTACAGATGAATGTACTTTCAGATGAAACAAACCATGCTGCTCAGTGTGCCGAGGAAGAAACTGTCATGTGCTCCATTTCTCTTCATGGCAATGACACAACTGTCTCATTGACCATCAGCATATCTTTGAATGAGACTACTGCACTGTCACCCAAGATGCAAGTCAGCACACATCATCTGCGTAAGATCTCATTCAATCATTCTATCTATCATTCTACCCTTTCTATCGTTCTGTCTATTATTCTATCATTCTGTCGTTCTTAGCTTCGGCTGATTATAAGCAAACAGTAAGCGAGTTCCTGAACAGTTCTGCGAATAATGCTGATTTTGATCTTATGTTATCAGAGTGAAACCAGCTATTTCATTTCCTTCATTCCTGTCCATGTTTGCCCATGTGCTGAGTTTCCTGTACTGCAGATTTCCTGCAGGCAAAATGTACTGCAGATTTAGTTGCTTCCTGTTTTTTATGTATAGGTCTTAAACATGGTCTCATAACACAAACCTGTCTTAGGGAAAACTGCTAAATTTTTTGTTCATGATTAATTTAAACTGACGTTTATTTAGTTTGATAACTCAAGTAGAAATGGCCAAACATTTTACACATTGTTTCTGATAATTGTAAGTGAGTTTCCTTCATTCAACACATCAGCGTAAAATGTTAGAGTAATACATTTGCATAAGTGACCGAATGACTGATCATACAGCTTGTAGCATGTTATTTTATTACAAAGTTTTTTTGTGAAAAAAGGTTGTGAAAATATTTTACGAACTAAAATTCATCTTCACAGTCACCTGTAAATCCATGACTGTAGCCTAATCGTTACTATGAAACGCGTTAAAAGTGTGAGTTCATGGAGACTGGTGCCAGGGCAACAGGTGTTTTATTAGGGTGTGTTTGTTCTTTGGGACCAGAGGCTGAAGAATACACATCTGTCTCTCAAGTGTTTTTCCGGGCAGTGGATTGAAATGGAATTTCACAATGGCATGGTTAAATGACTTACCAGGTCCAAACCTTAAGTCAAGCTCTTTATTGTCATTGTACAGTTACTACAAGATTGTTTAACAAAGCAAACCTTTTTTGTAAGCAAATAGACTTAATAGTAAGTGTTTTTCACTGCAAAATCTTGCTTAACAGACATGGACACCATTTACTTTCATTGCATGGATAAGAGCAGTCTGGACAGTCTGCAAAATATCCCCTTTTGTGTTCCATGGAGCAAAGAAAGTCAGGGGTTTGGAATGACCTAAAAATGATATCAGATTTATCTTTTTGTAGCTGATTGATTCCTTTAGGTTTAATTTTAAGTGAACAAATTGTTCTGACATTTTCACTTCCATCTTTTCTTTGAAGAATGCTTGTTGGAACAGAAGAAAAAGAGTCAATAACTACAGTAAATGAATAAAAAGTCCAATCAGTGTAAGCCTGTTTGTATTAATTGCAACAGCAGGGGCCATTTACTTTATAATGTGTTTGTGTCAATGAAGTAGTGGTTTTAAAAGATAATGATAATGTTAGTCTGTTAATAAAGGCCGCCTCAACTGATTAGTATTAATGGTACTGCTATTATTAAAATAAAGAAAATTGCTTTGCCTTTTTTACAAAGCAGTGGCTGCTGAGACTATCTTGTTCTAGACAGACATAAATACTTTGTTCAGAACAAAATAATACTTGAATGTGAACAACAGATATATACTCATGTATTTTTTATATATATATATAAAAAAAAAAAAAAAAAAAAAAAAATATATAAATAAATATATAAA